GGAGATGTGTGGGAGAACCCTGAGGAGGCTGAGGATTTAGAATCCTCAGATTCTAAGGAATTTGATTCACCTGATGAACTCATTACCCCTCCTTCAGCAGACCTGCCCTCCCCAACCTTGCCTAAGGCAACTAATCCCATTGAGGAAGATAATCCCATTCAGCAAGATGAAGTTGATATCCCTCAGGGCCCAGTTATTGTTGCCTCTAGACCTATAACCAGACTCAAAGCCAAGCAGGCCCCTAGAGGAGAGATGGAAAGTGTGGTCCATGAGGAGGTGCACTACACTACTAAATGTGAATTTGCTAATTCTTTCAAGCAGAAGTCTAATGAATATGTCTGGGAATGGATTTTAAGGGTATGGGATAATGGTGGAAGGAACATAAAATTGGATCAGGCTAAGTTTATTGACATGGGCCCCCTGACTGTAGATTCTAGGTTTAATATGGAAGCTTGTGCAGTTAAAAAGGGTGTTAAAAGTTTATTTGATTGGTTGGCTGAGGTATTTATCAAAGATGGCAGACAGAGAGCTGGAGATACCTAATTTCCCTTGGCTTAGTGTTGATGTGATAGAATTTTAAATCAAAGCCCTCCAGATTAAAGTAAACTGAAATTAAGTTTCCCAGGCTATACTCTGGGAAACTGTACAAGGAAGTAAAAAGAAAAATAATTCTAACTATAGAGAAGAAAAGATGACCTTTCATGCTTCCTTAAGCTGGAAAAATACCTGAAAAATCCCCCTCCCATTTCTGCTGTAACCATGTAACCAAGTACTCCTACTCTGACCTAGATACCAGCCCCTCCCACTGCTTGTGGTTTGTGGTTTTTGTCTATATAACCTAGCTTCTAAATTAAATCGGCACTTCCCCTTTTGATCAAGGTGGAAGGCCGTCTATATAGATGTAGTAATAAAATCCTCTTGCAATTGCATCTTCTGGTTTGAGGACTGAGTTATTGGGATGCGACCTCCCAAGAACGTAGGGTACCCCAGTCTGGGGGGTCCTACATTTGGGGGCTCATTGGGGATTTAGTCACCCCCAGACCCATTTCCTCAGATCAGCAGGAGGTAAGATTTGTCTTGTGGTTTGTCTTGGTGTTAATGTCTGTCTGTCATTTCCTGCTCTGGGAATGTTCCATATGAACAGTTGTGCCTGTACAGGACCTGTAAGTCTGTATTCTGGGAACCAAGGGGAGTGGCAGACGTGCCCAGAGACCCCAGGTTCCAGCATTCTGGCCCTAGTGACCAGAGTGATTTGAAGTGAGGTAGGCAGTGTCTCCTCACCTTGGGAGAAGGGAGATTGGCTTGGCTACTCCCCTCCCGGTCTGTACTTTCAGTTTTGAGTCAGAGAGTGCCCCGAAGATTTTTGTTGTCTATCTGTGTCTATATTTGGGGATCCTGAAAGTAAGAATGGTGAGTGCTGTGTGTGTCTGGGTGTAAGAAGGACCAGTCCACTTGAATGTGATATAAAACGGTGTGTGTGTGTACTTAATAGTGTACTAGTATTTTAAAAGATCGGGTTTTGTCTTTTTCTCTACACTCTCTATTTCAAGCCTTCTCTGTTTCTCTTTTATTCTTGGTCCAAGTCTTCGTGAGGGACCGTTAAAGGTGAAGGAGCAATTGAGGTTTTCTGGTCAGGGCCACTCCCTGACGTAAACCAAAGGCTCTTAGCCCTCTTGGTGGACCCCGACTGCCCACACGGGTGGAGACAGGACAGTCTTTTTATATCTTCCTTTCTCTCTAGCCACTAAAAAGCCCCATGGGCATGGGTCGAGCAAGTAAGAGCCACAGGGCGCTCACCACTAAAAGACTCCTGTGAAAGGATAAGGGAGTCCCAGACATGAATCCCAGATAAATTCACGTCCCCCGCAGAAGAAAACCTGGGCACCGATAGGTACTCATCTACAAACACACTCACTGGTCATCACTGTTTGGAGTGGCATCTGTATATCTCTCTCTCCCTCTCTCTATCTCTTTCTCTCTTTCTCTCTTCCTCCTTTTCTCCATTTCTTTCCTAAAAGTCTTTCACCATGGGTCAATCACTAATTACTCCCTTGAGTCTAACTCTAGAACACTGGAAGGAAGTTGCAGAATGAGCTCATAATCTTTCATTAGAGGTCCAGAAGAAGAAGTGGCAGAGTCTTTGTTCCTCTACATGGCCCTCCTTTGAAAGAGGATGGCCAAGGGATGAGACTTTTGATCTAGCTACTATTTTGCAGGTTAAGGAATACATTTTCCATCCAGGGCCACATGGGCACCCGGACCAGGTGGCCTACATAGTCACCTGGGAAGACTTGGCTCGGAACCACACATCTTGGGCATGACCGTTCCTACCTCCTTGGGGAACTGGAGAGAATGATCAGGGGCCCCCTACCCCTTCTGCTCCCCTAAGTCTCACTTCCTCCCTCCTGCCCCTTCAGTCTTCCTCTGAGGAGAAGAAGCAGAAACCAGTCTTCCCCGAGGACCAAGGTTCCCTAACCCTCCTTGACCCCCCACCTCCCTATCCTCCTGCGCAGGCACCTCTACCTCAAGAACTACCTCATCCATCCCCTGATTCCACTGAACCTGATCACTCCTCTCCACCATCTAGTAGACTCCGCCTGAGAAGAGATAGAGGGTGTTCCTCTGAGGGAACTGGGACTGCCCAGGTTTTTCCTCTACGAGCTGTAGGGGACCAGATCCAGTATTGGCCTTTTTCAGCCTCTGACTTATATAGTTGGAAAACTCATAACCCCTCTTTTTCTCAGGACCCTCAGGCTCTAACTGCTTTAATTGAGTCTATTCTTCTTACCCACCAACCCACTTGGGAAGATTGCCAACAACTCCTCCAGGCACTTCTAACCACAGAGGAAAGACAGCGAGTCATCCTGGAGGCCTGGAAAAACGTTCCCGGGGAGGATGGGAGATCCACTCAGGTCCCAAATGAAATAGACGCAGGATTTCGTCTGACCAGACCCAACCGGGACCCTAAAACCATGGCAGGTAGGGAGCGTCTCCATCTTTATCACCAGACTCTGTTAGTGGGTCTCAAAGGGGCCGGAAGATGCCCAACCAATTTGGCAAAGGCACGTGCTATAACCCAGGGAGAAAATGAAACCCCCGCAGGGTTTCTAGAGCGCCTAATAGAGGGATATAGGATGTACACCCCTTTTGATCCCACAGCTCAGGAGCGTCAGGCGGATCTTATTATGGCCTTTATAGGACAATCAGCTCCTGATATCCGTGGTAAGCTCCAACGGCTGGAGGGCCTTCAGGGGTACTCTTTGCAGGATTTAGTAAGAGAAGCTGAGAAAATTTACAATAAGCGAGAGACATTAGAGGAAAGGGAAGACAGAATTAGAAAAGAACAGGAAGCCAGAGAGGATAAGAGAGAGAAAAAGAGAAACAAAGAGTTGAGTCAAATTTTGGCCACAGTAGTCCAGGGAACAGGATCAGGACCAGGCAGGGACCTAGGAGACAAAAGAAGGCCCCGAGTGGATAAAGACCAATGTGCTTACAAGCTGAACAGACTTCAAAAGAAAACAACCCCAGTCCTGACTCTAGGGGACTAGGGAAGTCGGGGCCAGGAGTTCCCCCCTGAGCCCAGGGTAACTTTAAAGATAGGGGGGCAATTGACTACCTTCATGGTAGACACAGGAGCTCAGCACTCAGTCCTAACAACAACTGAGGGACCTATGAGTTCCAAGACAGCCTGGGTCCAAGGGGCCACTGGAGGAAAAACATACAGATGGACCACAGAAAGAAAAGTGGGCCTCAGCACAGTACGAGTCTCTCACTCATTTTTATTGGTCCCCGACTGTCCATACCCTCTTCTTGGGAGAGATTTACTCTCCAAGTTGGGAGCCCATATCCACTTTACCAAGAAGGGAGCCACTGTACAAGGAAAAGATGGAGCTCCACTACAGGTATTAACCCTGAGATTGGAAGATGAACATCGGTTGTATGAGGTACTGATAACAGAAACTCCTGATATATCCGACTGGCTAAGTAAAATCCCTTTAGCATGGGCCAAGACAGGAAGCCCAGGACTGGCATGCAATCAGCCTCCAATAGTGGTTACACTAAAACCCTCTGCAACTCCGGTCTCAATCAGAAAATACCCTATGAGCAGAGAGGCCCAAGAAGGAATCAGACCTCATATTCAGAGACTTTTACAAGTAGGCATACTTCGCCCCTGCCAGTCCCCTTGGAACACCCCACTGCTCCCCATAAAGAAGCCAGGAACAAGTGACTACCGACCAGTCCAAGACTTAAGAGAAGTCAATCGGAGGATAGAGGATATACATCCTACTGTCCCAAATCCTTACAATCTCCTGAGTACCTTGCCTCCCAGTCACAGGTGGTACACTGTTCTTGACCTGAAGGATGCATTCTTCTGCCTGAGATTGAGCCCGGTTAGCCAGCCCATTTTCGCTTTTGAATGGAAGGACCCTGAAGCTGGAATATCAGGGCAATTGACCTGGACACGACTTCCCCAAGGGTTCAAGAATTCCCCTACTCTGTTTGATGAAGCTCTGCACCGTGATCTGGCTGACTTTTGGGTAAGAAACCCACAGATTATGCTTCTTCAATATGTAGATGACCTCCTCTTAGCAGCTGAAATGGAAGCTGGCTGTCTGTAAGGTACGGAGGCTCTTCTACTGAGACTGGGGGAACTTGGATACCGGGCCTCAGCAAAGAAAGCCCAGATCTGCCTACAGCAGGTGAACTATTTGGGCTATAGGTTGGAGGGAGGGCAACGTTGGCTGACAGAAAGCAGGAAACAGACAGTAGCCTCTATCCCCCCACCAACCTCAGCCAGAGGACTCAGAGAGTTCTTGGGAAGTGCAGGATTCTGTAGATTATGGATACCGGGTTTCGCTGAAATAGCGGCTCCTCTATATCCCTTGACAAAGAATGGGACTCCTTT